GCCGGCCACGACCGCAGCCGTTCGTCACCGGTTGGAACGGTGGGCATCGGGTGAAAATTGCGGCAAGGAATGCGACCGTTCACCGATGCGTTTTTTTTTATTTTACTGTAGAGGTTTGGCGAGCGATTCTTTAACGCTTTCCAGCCAAGGTTGGAAGCGTTCACGCCATGGCTCTGTCTGTCCGCCTGTAACGTAACTCTCATCACCACGATCCAATATGAACAGAACTTTTAATATAAAGTTGTGTTTGTAAAATTGGCAAAAATGTATCGGACGATTGCCTGGACTGCTACCCCATCAGGCTGACTAAATGATGTCGAGGACAGACGCACGTTGGAAAGCGTGACGGAATCCATGCGTGCACGTGGATTTTAGTCCTTTTTTTGTTTTGCCTGCACGCCATCGCCAGTGCAGTCCCAAAGTTTGTATTCGTAATTTATTTTATTTAAAATCTCATTCATAATGAATCGTAAATTATAGCCATTTGTCTGTTGATCGTCGTCGGCGGGTTGTTTGAACATATTTCACCGCAGGACCTGTTCAGGCATCGCTCGTCACCGATGTCAGCCGTGGTTGCGAATCCAACTCTCGTTCGTCCGTGTCATTGTGCAGTGCGCTAACCACTGCACCACCGCTCCGCCCCCTGTAGTGTAATGTAATGCGTTGCCTCTCTCTACAGAGAAGTCACCTAACTTGTATGTGCGCGTGTTTCTAAGTACTTGCGCGGTGTTTGTGGTTGTTTCTTCAGCGGGCAAAAAACTTTCAAGTAAGCGTTTAGCGGCTTATCAAGCCCCCCTGCAAACAATTAACGGGGTTAGTTCCTGGAACGTAACACGGCAAGTTTGATATTGTTGTGAACATGCACTGCTTTTTTATTCGAATGCAGTGAAATCTTGTTGGGGGGGAGGGGGGTTCCATTATTAAAACATAGTAATGATAAATCGTTGCTGCTTTAGTCAAAGAAACATTTCATTTTTATCTTATACCTAAACGTCATCATTTATGTGGCATGAAAGTATTTCACAGAAATGCTTGTTAAGAAAAATCTGGCGGTGGCCAACGGCCGAGCTTTAACGCAAATTCAATAATTATTTAAGATTTTTTTAATTGCAGTAATATTTTCAAAAATGCAAACAGAGAAAAAACACGGAACCAGGATACGAGCGATCGCCATGTCTGGTGTGAGAAAATGAATCTAAAGAAGGCATGAAAGAGAAGCTGAGGAGAGAGAGGCAGGAGAATTAATGCTGAGAGAGAGACGTAAAAACAAATCGAGATTATCCTACTATGAATCTTCACATTTTGATACGGGGATTTCGTTTGTCAACTTCGCACGTAACGAAGAGAAGTGCACGGCGCTTGGAATTTTCCCGTGGGGGAAACGGAAAAAAAGTAATGTAAAAATAAATTGAAAAAAAAGCCTCGATTATTTACCCACGGGTTTTTCCCCTTTTTTCTGGCAACAAAACTGACACCTTTTGCAAGGAATCATGTTTACATTAACCACAATACTTGCAGTCAAATGCAAAAAAAAAACTGCAAGTATTGTGGTTAATGTAAGCATGATTCCTTGCAAAAGGTGTCAGTTTTGTTGCCAGAAACAAAGGGGACAAACCCTGTTAGTATATTTTGGTACTGGCAAAGGAGGTCCCATGATGATATTTACCCACGGTTCGCCGGTGGGCGGCTTCACGCTCGGTGGGGGCAACATTGTGGGTCACTCCCACCCCTTCCAAGACGTCTGGCTGGCGTGAAAGAGTAGGCCAAAAGTCCCCAATACAAGGGGCTTTCCAGAGCTCTCTAGAAGTGGCGGCCCCTTCCGCCAGCGGTGTCGTCCGCGATCAATTGCAGGGCTGCGCCTTTACGCGTTATCACACAACACCCTGCTCCGGCAAGTTTCCACGTCTCTCTCTGCAAGCGGAGGAAAGCCCTCACAACCCGGCAGCGGTTCTAGCACATCAAACGGTGCTCGCCAACACGTGGAGGGGGGGGGGGGGGACGCGCGCACAGGGCTGTGAAAACACAAGGCTGGAGAGTTTAACAAAACACACAATTTTTGAAGGTGGACACTTGGTGGCGGTGGCGGGGGGCGGGCGGAGAGCAGACGTGGCTAAGTCGGGAAATAAATCCACGGCGGGTCTCTGCTAAGCAAGCCTCCTTACATAAGTCTGGCGCACAATAAACTCGTGCCCTTCATCGCTGTTGCTGGTGAACAGGATTGTGAATGTCTCTCACTCCAAAAGCCGGTATTTAAGAACCAGTTGAGAGGCCGTTGAGAGCGCAAGGGAGACCTGGGTGGGTTACGAGAGCAGATACAGACGCGAAACAGACCCTCGCAAACTTATTGCAAAATAATTTTTTCAAGCTGAAATTGTGACTAATGTTTACAGTGGAGATTTTTGTCTCGTTTTTTTTGTCATTTCCGTCCATCGGCATCGTGCCACGGGACGAAGAATTAGTTCGGATCTCTAGCAGAGCATTGCGACCCTTCAAGTGAAGCATGGCTCACAGAAGCGGACGCCACAGAGCTACCGCTGAGATCCAATCAAACGGCTTCTGCTTCCAGCGGAGATTTTATTACCAATTTGTAAGACGTAAAAGGAGGTGAGGAGAAGGCAGTGATCGAGGGTGCAATGATGCGTCGAGTCATTGGCACTGTAGATTGCAGGACACTCGTGAAATCACGTGACAAGGAATCGATGTTTTCATAAGCGCAGGGCGGACACCACTGCACATTACTCGAGACGTAACACGCGCAGTGGCGTCTGCAGATAACGTCACAAAGTTCAGCGACGACTAAGTGCCCCAAAATGTGTTTTCACTTCTTGCAAATGTCATGCAAAACGTGTGCGAACGTCGCACGCACGCCGACGGAGAGAAACGAGACCAGAAATAACGACGGTTAGAAACGACATGAGCGAGACGGCAAACGCGAGAACAAAATAATGCCTCCATTCTCGAATCGGATCGCAGCTTTGGGTCGAAGAATCGCCACCGAGGCTACGTGCCATCCGTGTGCGTTCGCCGCGCATCAGACCGGCCTCCCAAGCGTCACACCGAGTGCCCTCGCGAGTGCCTATACGCCCGCCCGCCCGCGCCCGCCCGCCCGCCCGTGCCCGCGCGTGTTTTAAAAACCTCCTCGTCCGCTCGGTCGGTTCAGAAAAGGCAACTCGCGCTTTAAAGCAAACACCGCCTTGAACGGATCGCACTGTGGTTCTCTCGCGGGCGGTGGGGATGTTGCCCTTGGCATTCGGGGCCTGCTGGCGTTGCGTCAACACAAACAACCGCGGCACAAAAACACAAAAAATTCAAACAGCGGCCCCCCTCTGTGTGTTTCTTAATGCGTTCCTGTGTTCAAATATGGGGCGTGTATTGGGTTCGTGCTGCTGTGCGCTGTGGATGCGACTCGCGGACGTGACTCCGTGCGTGCGTGCCAGCGTGCGTGAGCACCGACGTGGGTGGAGCGGTGGTGCAGCGGTTAGCACGACGCGCTACGAGCCGGGCGATCCCAGTTCGATTCCCGCTCACGGCCAACAACAAATAAGGATTTTCAGTACCGGTCCCGGGCCTCCAATAGGTCGACTCGGCCTTAAATGAATACCTTTGTATCAGTGTGTACAACATCAGCACCAGGGAGATGTGGTTTGGGCCACCACCCCCCCCTCCCCCTCGTGCCCCCCTCATGCGCCGTGCTGACCTTTAATAGGTAATCGCTAACAACACTTGCTCCGACAGTCTGTGTATAGTGGCATAGTGGTTAGCGAACTGTGCCACAAACCCGGCTCACGGCCAACACCGGTGACGATTATCTGCACTGGTCCTGGGCCTCCCCTAGGTCGACTCAACCTGAAATGAGCGCCTGGTGCGGTGTGTAAACATCGCCACTGGGGAGACAAAGACCGCCCTGCGTGATGCTGGCAACCCACCCCCGCTTGCGCCGGTGTCGGCTTTTATAGGTGCTCGCTAACAGCACTTGCCGCCCCAAGCAGTCTGTTAAGGCTGTACGGGGGGGGATCTTTGTCTCTGTTTGCTGATGGACGTTGTTATCGTCTGCCTGTCGATAGCGGTAAGCAGAGCGCAGGTGGGCATTGTAAACGTCGCACGCTTGCGTTTAAAAATATATATCGCCACCGTCTTCCGCCGGTTGGCTTGGATGGCTGCTCGCTGCTGCTGGCTGCTGCTGCTCCTGCAAGCCATGTGACTTATTTCCGCCAAAATAACTGGAGACTATGTAAATGCTTATTGACTTGAGCTATGACCGTGCGCCCTGTGTAGACGTTGCAGGTAATTTATATTCGGCACGCGCTGTGCACAATTTGGAATTTTTTGGGAGGGGGGAAATCTTTTTTTTTTTCTTCAAGCCGCCCCAATATGTAAACTTAGCCAGCTCTTAAAATGAACAACGCTTTAATGGTATGCCTTTAACTTAGGCCTAATATGCTTCTCCCCTCTGAGAAACACCTTTTAAGGCCCCTCTGGTGATTTCAATATATAGTTTATATAGAAGAAATAAATAAACTCCGCCTATCTCGTTCCACCAATGGATGAAGGCTTCCCAACTCCATGGCGGTAACGGGGAAGGGGGGGGGGGGATGGTTTGATTATACTTCACCACGCGGGTCATATACAAGGCTTCATTTCAGCCAGACGTGTCCCAAGTCGGCGAAACATTTCCGCGCTCGGCACACCACATCCGCCACGCTTGTCACCTGCAGCTGTGACCACGAGGCACGAGCCTACTCCAGTCTGCCAGAGAGCCGGAGAATACTCCGTGAGATATCAAGCCCTTTGTATGCATACACATGTATCGGAATAACACTGTGCTTGGTCGCAAACCTTTGAGCGGACAAACTTGTGCGGATATGCACGGCTACTAGAATCCACCCCTGGAATCTGCTCCCACGCCAACTTGTTCGTTTGGCTGCATCTAACAGAAAAAAATCTCGATATGTAAACTAAACAACCCTTTTCTGTTTCCGCAACGACGATGACTGTCGCAGGTCCACCGGTATTTCTGCTGCCTGCCGGAGGACCGCGTGCCGTACGTGAACAGCTCCGGAGAGAAACACCGCATCGAGCAACTGCTGCGGCAGCTGCCGCCCCACGACAACGAGGTGAGGACACCCCGGGAGTCGGGATGGGGGTCGCGATGTCGCCCGTGGCACCACACGCACGGCGCTCTCTCGCACGCCCGCTTGTTCGTGCCGTGCCGGAGACGTGGCCCAGCGGCGTTGCAGAGGTCCACGGCTCGGTTCGAATTCGAGTGGCCGACCTGATCAATGCTGCGGCGTGCGTATCGACTGTAGTCATAATCGTACACGGCCCGCCCGCTTTGCGAGCGGAGGTTTAAAAAGGTCCCGCGATGCCATTCGCGAGGGGGCTGGCGGCCTCGTGCCAGCGTCGGGAGTTCCACATATTTGTCAAATTTTGAAACGTGACGCCGCACGTCACACAAATGGGATTGTACTTGGTGATCATTATCGCCCCCCTTACTGCGAAATCTTGGCAGCAGCCTCCTGAAAAAGAGGCATGGGGCTCCGTGAGGCTTTCCCGGTGTAGTACAGTTGGCATGAGACCCTGGTGCAAAGATTGACACCTATGAACAGCGGATTAAAAACTTTCGGGGTCGCTGTTCATTCACTGGTCGCAGCCGAGTGTGGATGTTCGTGCACATTTGTAATGGGTCATTGTTTTAAAAGCATATTTTGTTCTACCAAGTTGGCTGTGTGGTTTGTATAATTCATACACGTTGAAAAAGAAAGAGACTTCTGATCTCACCGGGCACTTAACGGGTTATAAATAAGGGACGTCAAATATGCGTGCATCGATTCTGAGTTGTACCGATTACATTGCAACTCGCCTTCAAGACCAGAACATCCACGACTTATCTAAATGCCTTCGAAACTCCAGGAAAAGTCCCGATTCACAAGATGGGCTGATGCGCCAGTGACCCAGTGCAGTTCACGATCAGCCCGACCCAACAGAATCGACCACACCAACCACCACACCACACCACAACCACCATCACCGCTCCTACCGCCACCACCAACCACCCTAAGCATCCTCAGCGATGGAACGAACTAACACAGCCAGTCTGGAACCCCCAATTTTAACGTGGAATGCCATTCCTGCAGTCTTAGACAAATGATTTTTCTTCAGCGAAAGTACATTTCTGAGCTGCTGCTGATGATGATGATGACTAATCCAGATGCCTCACACGAAGGGTGTGTCGCTTCATGCGGGTGGGAGATCTGCAATCCGGCCGATTGCCAGGCCGCGTGCCTGCGTTGGTGGTGTGTGTGCGTGCGTATGTTTGCGTGTGTGTGGGTGGTGCGTATACAGTGAGCTGTAGTGTAGCAGTTAGCACGCTGCGCTATGAACCCGGCAACCTGGGTTCGATTCCTGCTCACGGCCAACACTGGTGACGATTATCTGAACTGGTCCTGGGCCTCCCCTAGGTTGACTCGGTCTCAAATGAGTACCTGGTATGGTGTGTAAACATCGCCACTGGGGAGACAAAGGCGGTCGGGCGTGGTGCTGGCCACCCACCCCCTCGTGTGCCGTTCCGGCCTTCATAGGTGCTACTCACTCATAGCACTTGCCCCTACAGTCTGTTAAGGTTATACAGGGGTTCTTTGTCTTTGGTGTGTATATGTGTGTGCGTTCGTGCGTATGTATGTGTGGTGTGTGCGCGTGTGGTGGATGCGGGGGATCCAGTGGTTAGCGCACTTTGACCAACAGCGGTGGCGATCATCTGAACCGGTCGACTCGGTCTCGAATACGTACCTTGTTGGCGTGTATGTTGAACTTCGTTCGCACCGTATGTGGCCAACCGTGCCAATCGTACGTAATCGTAGCCGACCTTTCAATGTGTTAACATCTCCGCTGGGGAGACGAAGGTGACTCGGGCGTGATGCTTCTTGGCCACACCACCTCCACGTAATGGGTGCAGGTGCACTTTGCCCCAGCAGCCTGTGTAGGCCTCACGGGGACGGCTTGTCCTTGCGTGTGGCTGGTGGATGCCTCCTTGATGATATTCGCTGGGCTGGGCGTGGTTATAAGTGGCCCACGTGGCCCCCTTACGCAAATCGCCCGTGGTGTAATTGAGTTTTCTAAGTGCCACCTGAGGATTTACCCCCGTAATGGGGGACGTGTGTTATTTAATTGGTTTGTAATGTGGAGAAATTAGGGCATGGCGTGTATTTAAGTGGCATCAACGTCAGGGTTGTAGAGTGACAAAAAATGGCGGTTAATAGACGGATCCTTGAATCCGTCTGTGCGGAGGGTCTGACTGAGATGCCACGTCTGCCCGTATTTGGCGCGTGAATTTTGTTGGCCGTGCTTTGGATGGTGATGTTGAACTTCTGTCGCATCGTACATAGCGAGTCGTCGTGGGGTTGTCATTGGGTAGCTCATTGTCGGCGGTGGTGGTGGTGTCATAGTTATCGATGGCGTTCATGCTTTTGGTGTTGTTGATGGTGTCACAGATGGACGTGATGGTGGTGGCGGTGACATTAATTCTAGATTTGAATCTTTCGTGATTCATACTCTTAGTTCTTTCGGTAAAGTCACGTAGGTAAAAAATGAAATTTCATTAATTTTAATTAAATTTTTTTACCTACGTGACTTTACCGAAAGAACTAAGGGCATTTACATTGTTGATGGTGCCCATCGATGGCCTTGTTGTCGACATTAAACGGCGGTGGCGACGGCGGCGCAGGTGCGGTACTGCAGCTCTCTGGGCGAGGAGGAGAAGAAGGAGCTGAAGCAGTTCAGCGCTCAGCGCAAGCGCGAGGCGCTCGGCCGGGGAACCGTCAAGACCTTCCCCATCACGGCCCTGGGCGCCACGTGTGAGCAGGTAACGTGTCCAAGCCACGCGATTTGCATTGCCACAATCGCACTGCCGTGGCCTGTATTTAATTTTCCATTTTCATGCGCACATTGGCCAGCTGATGTTCTGATGTGGTTAATGGTTACACCAATGTGTTTGAGGAGGAGGAATATCAAGGTCAGGATGTTTGGGTCTGGAATGAGATGCGAGTCCGGCGGCATTCCATTCGAATCCAGATATGATCGGTCGTACAAAAGTTGGGGGTGCATCTTTCAATCCGGTAGGTGTCTGCGTGTGACCTAATCTGTATAACTTTATTGACGCCGGGCCCACAAGTTTGGGGGCACGTATTACATTCGGGGGTGTCTTATACTCCCAACTTCTTCTTCCTAGCGTTGTTCCCGCTCTGGCGCAAGGCCCGCTTTTCGGCATTGTCTTCTCCATTGGCTCGGTCCAGGGCATCTTCGGGGGATGCGTTGACTGTCTTCATGTCTTCCTTTATTCGATCCATCCATCGCTTCTTCGGACGTCCGCGTGGACGGCGGCCCTCTGGCTCAATACGCACGGCAGTCTTGGCCACTGATGACTCTTCACTTCGCATCACATGGCCGTACCACCGAAGCCTTGCCTCAAGCGTCTTATACTCCCAACAATATGATGATTTTCCTTCTCTCGCTGGCACTGGGGTTTCTTTGCTGGGTCCTCCAGGACGCGCCGAAGGGTTTAGCCCGCGTCGTTGACAAGCCATCTCTCGGGGTTTTTTTGGTCGTCCACTCGGGGCAGCAGACGGTGCGCTTGGGTAATTCCACGAAGGAATCCAAACTATTAAACTACTTTTCATTTGGGCAGGTAAGGCCCCGCCGAGCTACGTAGCTCTTTTTCAGAAGCGACCTGGACCATCGCAAACGGAAATTCAACGAAGTGCGCTTATCGCGTGCAACATTGTTAATCGCAGACAAACACTCTGAACGCACGCTTATTTGAACGATGAGCGGTATACACAAACCGTGGGCCACGTTTTGAAGACGGCACCGGTGGCGACGACATCGATCGGCCCGATCGGCCAGCCAAGGGTGTCGTGGCAGCAGCGGCGGGCGCAGGAACTTGGGAAGCGAGGGCGCTGCCCTGTTTCTCGGCGTCACATTCTGATCCGTCATCCCGCGTTCGCCCTCCGAAACGTATCGTCGCACGCGGCGAATGCCAAGGCTCCCCAAAAAAAATGTGGTGTTGTTGCCAGCATCAAAGAGTGAAAAATAAGAACAGGTCCCAAAAAAAAGGTCCCATGACGTAGCTGCTCGCCCCCGAGCTTTCAACGGTCCGATACGCGGGGCGCTGCCTTTGTGCTGTTCGCCTTTTGGCGTCCTCTGGTCTGACACTGGTGGTGAGACGAGGCCACGGAGAAGGCTGCCGTCTCTGGTGGAGGCCAATCCGTTTAAAAGACGACACAAGTATTTAATTATCAGAGCCGTGTTTGTTTGCATGTCCACCACAAGCCACAATCGCTGTGTGTGGTTAATGCAGCACTCGATTCCTTACAAAAGGTTTCTATTTGGCGTTCGAATATCGCAACACCTCCTGTTTTATTGCCAGAAAGGGCAAAAACTATTCTTATTTTTCTAATCAATGCTGTGAATGGGTTAAAGTACAGCCCAGCCCCCAGTGTTCAAGTGAAGCTTATTTTGCCTCCCCCGAAGTCGCGGGCGTCACCTTTCCACCCATTGCCTTTGTGACGTTTCCCATCCCACTCCCCCCCCACCACCAACACCACCACTCCCCCGCCCCCATGTCAACCCCACCCCCCCCCCACCCAGATCCCCCGCTGAGTTGGCCCAGAGTTGGCCCAGGGATTAGCCGGGTCCTACATAACCAGCCGAGCGTGAAGAACTTAAGAGGGGCCGTACCTTTTAGTCAGGATTAAAATTACCAAAAGGAGGATAACGGCAAATTACGCGAACAAAATTGACTTGGAATGGGCACCCGTCATGAATAACCAAAAAAGAATATATACAATTATTTAAACCAGATTACCGAAGCACCCCATTGCATGTTATTTCTGCTGACATTAATCGTCCTTGGGTGACACCAGTCCCCGCCATGGGAAACGCGGAACCTCCACCACGAGCTCCAAGCAGCCCCGTGGAGAGAGTTACCCGGCAAACATTGAACGCGCACCCGTGCGGCACACCACGCCCGCCGTGCCCCTCGCTACGGCCGCGGCGGCTAACCAGCCAACGTGCCAACCACCAGGACATTTATTCGGCCTCCACCACGAGCTCCGAGCAGCCCCGGGGAGAGAGTTACCCGGCAAACATTGAACGCGCACCCGTGCGGCACACCACGCCCGCCGTGCCCCTCGCTACGGCCGCGGCGGCTAACCAGCCAACGTGCCGACCACCAGGACATTTATTTGGCCGAGCGATTAAGCCATCGCTGAACGGGCCAATTCTGCTGCGGGCTACGGAGGCGGCCGGATGACATCACTGCCCCGCGCGTGCCCCCAGAGCCACCATCCGTTTCAAGGAGAGCCAACAATGCGTGACATATAAAGTGATAACGGCCACGTGACCCACCCCCCTTGGAGGAGTAGAAGCTCACACGTCACGTCCATCCCCAAGCCTTCGTTGCCTCCTCACCCCACCCCTGCCCTCGCCCCCCACCCCCCCATTCTCTCCCCCCCCCCCCCCCCCCCTCTGAGGGCCCCATGTCCCGACTTGCGGCCGCGTGGACTTTACTACGCGACAGCGATGCCATGCGCCGCAATTTGCCCCCAGTCGCCACGGCGGAGTTAATGAAAGACTCCGGAGCAAACAAATAGCCGCCAGCGTCCGAGTCGTCGTTACAGGGCACGTCGTGGGCTTACAAGGCGCTAAATATATTAAAATGTTTTGCCATGAGCCTTGGGATGATGACGATGTCATGTTTCTGGCACGCACCTGCCTGGCCTGGCGGTGGCGGGTTTTAAAAAAAAAACATAAATCCGAAGGAAATAACAAAACAAGAAAAGAGGCAAATGTTAGCAGGGTAGATGCTGTGCGCGCTGCCTGCCTGCGTGCGTGCGCAAGCTATGATACTCTGTGCACGTGGCGCTGCTGTTCATATCCGAGCTTGATTGGACCAGCGGTGGTTACCTGCCACTGCTGCTGCTGCTGCGTTGTGGCTGCCTGTAATCGAGCGCTGTGGATGGTCGTGACGAAGGGGTTGGTGGATCAGGTAAAAAACGAACTTTTAACATGATGGGTTTTTTTGTATTGTGTGCGCGAGCAGCTATTGTTAAAAACACCGGGCCGAGGCCATCGCCTGGCAGCCCGCTTGAGAACCCCAACCGCATCAGTGTCTTAGCCCATTCCCAGGCCGGTGGGTGGGAGGGGGGGGCATCTCTTGACCGGCCCATGTCCGACCCACCTTTATATATATATTTACTTTTCATTATTTCGTTAACGGTTTCGGCGCACAGCTGGCCCCCCCGATGGAAGAGAGAAAATTAGTCTGGGAGGCGAGGGACGCTCGACGTGTAACCAGATATTTAATGAAAACACGAGGGCATCCTTCGTGAGACTCCCCCCCCCCCCCCCCGCGTGCCCTGAGCAAACAAAATCCCGTCTCTCGCCACTTCCGCTGGTGTTTTGGCTTGCAGCGCAAAACGCACCCTGCCGGGGCCCCGCGTTGTTTTCCTCTGCCCCCCCCCCCCCCCTCCGCCACCTGGGTCCCTCCCGATGCCGTTTGACTCGGCAGCAACGTACGCTGCTGCCACGTTCTACTCCGCTGCGCCGTGACGGGGGGGGGGGGGGGGGCGAGATAGCGGCGCCGGAGAAGAGAGATTCGCGTCCTCCGTGGACTCGCCCCCCCCCCCTCTCACGCTACTCCCCTGCACCCTTTACCTCTCCCCCCCTCTGAGCTCACTCTACTCCCCTCCGTGCGCGCTCTCCGCTCCATCAACCAAGGCTCTCTGTCGATCCCCGCCATGTCAACCTCCGCTCGGTGGGAGGTCGCGCATTCTCCTCCGTTGGCCCTCGCAGCCTCGGTGGAGCTCCCCCCTACAGCCCGTGCTGTCGACTGCTCTGCCTGTTGCAAGTGCAGGCTCGACGTCTTTCTCTTCTACCTCTGCCTACGACTGACAGCCTGTCCCCCCCCACCCCCCAGCTCCCGGGTACAACCCGGAAAACGCAGCGGAGAACCGCACCAAGTGCAACCGCGAAAACAGGAACGCGACCGGTCATCGTGGGGGGAAGAGAGAGGAGAGAGCGAGCGAGCAAGCGAGAGCGGTTCTCAATACTAACGAACAAATTTTCCGTGTTCCCCTCCGCTCCCCGCGCCCATCCCCCCCCCGCCACCCTCTCTTCCTCAGTGCGGCGGTGGCATCGGCGGAGGCGAGATGGCGGTTTTTGCGTCGCGCGCGGGGCACACCCCGTGCTGGCACCCCGCCTGCTTCGTGTGCGCCGCGTGCCGGGAGCTCCTCGTCGACCTCATCTACTTCTACGTGGACGGGAAGCTCTACTGCGGGCGGCACCACGCCGAGCGGCTCAAGCCGCGCTGCGCCGCGTGTGATGAGGTGAGGTGGAGCAGCGGTGACGATCGCGGTCGCGTTGGCGATGATCGTGACGATGGCGACGTTGACGACGATCGTGACGATGGCGTCGATGACGACGATCGTGACGATGGCGTCGATGACGACGATCGTGACGATGGCGACAATGATCGTGACGATGGCGACGACGATGAGGACGATCGTGATGATGGTGATGGCGATCGTGATGATGACGACAACGATGATGACGATAGTGATCGTGATGATGGCGATCGTGACAACAAAGCGAACAGTCGGGAAAAACGGAATTGCTGTCGCTGCCGACGTTGTCGGTCGCCGTTGCGATTTCACAGCGATCGCCCAATCTTCGTGCTTACGTTGTGTTCCGCTCTTGTGCCCGATCCTCTCCTGATGGTCTGGCCCATGTGGAAGAGCAGTAGGCCCAAAATACTCGCTCAAGGGGCCACTCCAGATCTCCGCCTGACAATACTGGCATGAGGAAGCAATAGCGCAGGGCTGCACCCTTGTACCCTCGTTGTGTATGAACACCAACTCTCAGCCAAGATCGTCACGGACTGTCGTCGGAGTAGCTAACGAGTGTGCAGGCGGTGCAACTGCACTGGGGGCGGGGGAAATTGGGACGGGGGGGGGGCTCCATTAATTCCTTGCACCAGGGCCAATGCCAGCACCCCTCTCCCCCGCGTTATATTCGTCCTCACGTCTTCGGTTTCGTCGTTCGTCTTGCTCGTTTTAATTCGCGGGAGGTTGAGTCCGGTTACGTGGCACGCGTTGGCAAACAGTAACGCCTCGGTGGGAATGATCGTCATGCCGGAATGGCAGAATGCCGGCTCGGTAACCGGTCACACCGCGGCACCGCACTCAACCGCGGCGCTCCACCGTTGGGTGATTATAAGGGGGACGTGGTGAGCGGAGAGAGGGAGATTACTTTATATATATATATTTTTAAAAAATCCAATTTGCCATCCGAAGACTCTTGCGTGGCTTTGAGGGATAATTTAAAAAAACACACACAAACGCACGCAACGGGAGTTTTAATAACGCTGGCCACTCTATTCAATCCCGCCGCACGGTTCCGCGTCTATTTTATTTAGACGTTGTCGTCGCAATATGTCCGGCATTTTAATTTTTTTCTTTCGTCTCCTTTTCGGAGAGAGGGCCTGCGCACGTTAACCGGCACGTTCTGTCGCCCCGGGGTAAGCGGCGTGCGCCCCGAATGCACGTCGGGGTCTCTCTCCCGCTCTCTTTCTCGCCCCCAGCCAGTGTGGAGTTTATTGGCCGTTTTCTTCCCGGCGCTGACATTTGAACCCTTTATGGCTTTTCCTCCTCGCTGAGGGGTTGTTTGGTTCCCCCCCCCCCCCCCCCCCCACGATATTTATTTATTAACCTGCTTCAGGCAGAGGGGGCCGTCTATTTCTGTACAAATCCTTGACGGCCTCAGCTGCGGAGTTAATCCTCTGCCGCTGCGGAGGAGATGGGGGGGGGGGGCAGGTCTCGTGAGTGGGGGGTGTCTGATTTTGCACCGGGACGGTCTCATCGTGCAGGAGAGGGCGCGAGTCTCGTGGGGTGCAGTGCTGTCTCTCGCTCGCCTCTGTCCCCTCGCTCGTTCCCTTGCTCGCGTAGTCGCCCCTCTCTCGCTTGGTGAGCTCGCCCCGCTCGCTCACCCTCGGGACGTTGCCCGCGAGCTGCGGACAGTCGAGGGCCCCCGGCCCCAACATGCTCATTGCTTCCGGGGGGCCTAACTTCTGCCGGGTCCTTCCCGCCTTGTCGGCAACCCTGAAATTAGTTTTTTCTCGCACCCCGGCACGCCACGTCCCGTGCACCTCTAACAATGGGATGTGCCGATAAGCGTCGCGTGCCGCCTCCTCCAGTCAACCAGCGACCCGGATAACGCTCGGCGAGATATCACGCCCAGCTGTTGGGAGCACACGTGGCAGGATGCGGCGTAGCGCAGCGCGAGATGGATTTTCTGCCGCGCGACCCTTTGATTGCCAGCTTGGCGTCGCAGCGCCCTTCGTTTCGCGCGTTTCAAGTCGCCCCTCCCAGGGACTACCCCAGGCTCAAGCCGACCGAGCACAATTCTAGGCGGTTAGGTCAGAGCCTTTCCCACAAATCGGTACCACATTTTTATGAAACCGTGCAGGAGGGATGCCGGGCAGAGGTCGACCCTCCGCCGATGGGGAATGGATCTCGCGGACGAACGTGGGTCTAGCACGGGTTGCCTAAGTTGGTGGCCTAACCGGGTGACCTAACCTAACCGGGTGGCCTAACCGGGTGGCCTAACCGGGTGGCCTAACCGGGTGGCCTAACCGGGTGGCCTTACCCGTTGGCCTAACCGGGTAGCCTAACCCGGTGGCCTAACCGGGTGGCCTAACCCGGTGGCCTAACCGGGTGACCTAACCGGGTGACCTAACCGGGTGGCCTAACCGGGTGACCTAACCGGGTGGCCTAACCGGGTGGCCTAACCGGGTGACCTAACCGGGTGACCTAACCCGGTGGCCTAACCCGGTGGCCTAACCGGATGGCCTAACCCGGTGGCCTAACCGGGTGGCCTAACCCGGTGGCCTAACCGGGTGACCTAACCGGGTGACCTAACCGGGTGACCTAACCGGGTGGCCTAACCGGGTGGCCTAACCGGGTGGCCTAACCGGGTGACCTAACCCGGTGGCCTAACCCGGTGGCCTAACCGGGTGGCCTAACCGGGTGACCTAACCGGGTGGCCTAACCGGGTGGCCTAACCGGGTGGCCTAACCGGGTGGCCTAACCGGGTGGGCTAACCCGTGGCCTAACCCAGTGGCCTAACTGGGTGGCCTAACCCGGTGACCTAACCGGGTGGCCTAACCCAGTGGCCTAACTGGGTGGCCTAACCCAGTGGCCTAACCGGGTGGCCTAACCCGGTGACCTAACCGGGTGGCCTAACTGGGTGGCCTAACCCGGTGACCTAACCGGGTGGCCTAACCGCAGTGTTGTCCGGCTGGCTTACCGCCGTCAAACCTCGTGGAGCTGAGAGCGTGAGCAGCTTGGGAGCGGTCAGGGGGGGAATCTGCTGCGTGCTCGCCGGCGTCGCCAGGCTCCCACCCGCGATGCTCGATCAGCGGTCCCATCCAATTTTTATGGAATCATTCTAAACTCGAGCTGTCATCGAGGCCGACCTCGGGTGCTAGAAGGCTTTATAAACTGCGCGTCCGTCAGCGTTTGCGTTTGTTTAAACGTTGCGCCCTCGTCGACTCGCGTCATGTTGGCCGTGCCACTGCGAAGTTGACGGCCGTGTTATGTATTTAGTTTTTTCCATTATTATTATATTCCGAATGGTACCGACGGATTTCTTGGTCGCAACTGAAGCTGTGAAACCAGGAAGGGGGTGTCTGCCTTCTCACGGAGACATCTGCAAGCCATGTTCGTGCGTGCCCCCCCCCCCCGTACCAAACCCCCCAACACCGCCCCTCACCCTTCCCCCCTCTCACCCCCCCACCCGCACCCATCACCTCCAATCTTCACGCGCATTTCCCGTCGCCTGAAACAACACCGCCGCTCTCCCCCGCGAGAGCGCGTTCGTTTGTATGCGTCTAACGTAAGCTCACGTGGCCAGCCGTAGGTAGCCCTTCGTGCTTAACCGGAGGTTCGTTTCCAACGGCCAACGATGCAAACCCACGTGTTTAAATTGGACGATGACGACGACGCGATTGCTGCTGACGGGACGAGGGCGGATGCGCGCACAGAAGGAACGCTGTGATTTTGCTGGGGCGTGCGTGCCGGGCAGGGTCGGACACGTTCGTTGGGATGCGTGTTGCGTCTGATCTTACCCTCGGCATTGCGCCGAGTGAGCCAGACTCAGAACACAACTAAATAGGACACCTTCTGCCCCGTCATTAATGCTCTCTGTTGCTGGCCGCCTCCTTCCGTCGTCTCTCTTAACCCAAGTACCGATTGGGATTCAATAATAATTGGCAGCCCTGTGTCAATACCCCACCCATGCCGTGTCGGCTGTGATGGTTGTTTGACCATACTTCACCACGCTGGTCAGTGCGGGGTCGCGACACGACGCCGGCGGTGGCAGTGAGTGGCGGCGACTGTGAAGCTTGGGACCGGTTCGGACGTCGCTTGCCCCGCTGATGTTGTCCGTGGCCAGGAATAGAAACTCGGATCGCTGGGTTCGCCGCGCGGTGCTCGCGAAGCGCCACGCACGCGCCGCTTCGCCCAACTCGATGCGTGACCCTTCTTGTCGCGAGAGAGCCTCATGACGACTCATCGGGGCGTTGCCGGATTACAAACCCAAAGAAACGCGACGGGGCCACAGAGAGTCGAAGCGACGTTGCTTTACGGACACGCACGCCTCCTCCGTTGTCAACGAATCGGCACCGCACGCTCCCGTTCGCTCGCCCCCGTAGGGGGATTCCGCATTAATGGAGACAACAACAACAACAACAACAACAAATCCGCACCAATTTCCATCTCGGGCTTCACTTTGACGTCCACCCCGGTGCGCCCCTTCTCCCCCTCCCGTCGCTCCTCGGCGAGATGAGCGGCAGCGGCCCTCGCCGCGATCGCTGGGCCGACTGAGACGTGTGCGAGCCGACCGCCAGTCGCGCGCGCGCTTCGCTCGGCCCGCCGCGTCAAAGGTCGAGCGTCAAAAGAGCGAAACGATCCGTGTGTTTGAACTTACTTCGCACCGTCCGTAGCCCGCCTCCGATTGGCGCGTCTGGCGACGTACGGCGCGAAAGAGGTTCAACGTGCGTGCCTGCGTGCGACCGCGCTAATCGGAGGTGCCGGGGGAAGGACAAGCCAAGCCCCTGGCAATTTTTGCACTCCCGGTTTCCCTGCTTTCGTGCTCGATTTGGATAAGAAGGCACTTGGATGGGAGACCAACCCTGGGTTTGAGCACGCGAGGTGACCGCCAGATGGTGGCACAGTCGTGTACTCTTGAATTTAATTTGTGCGGAGGCTTAGGTGTTTACGCTTCCCGAGGTGGGAGATGACGGTGTCGCAACGGAGTATTAATTCTGTCTAATGCAGAGCTTTAAGTGTTGCGAGCCGCTGCGAGGTGGGCTTAGAGATGGAAGAATAGCACTGAGGACTCGGCAGGTTCTGTCCCGCATGATCGAAGGCCACGATTGTGATTACGTGTGTCCTCTGATGGAAGGCGGAGGTCACTGGCGTGTCCCACAGCGATGCCGGACAGGACCAATGGGTTAACCAGAGACGTAGGTGAGAGGAGGGGTGGGGGCGGGATTGTCTGTACTTTATTTTTTACCTTTTTCCCTCCTGTGTTTCCAATCTTCTTCCATCCATCACTCGAGCTGCTGCCGCCACCACCACCGTGAATTTTTAAAGGCCTCTGTCTCGCCTCATTTGCATCCCCCACCACCCCCCACCACCATCATCATCATAATTCCCTCCCTCCCCACCGGCCCCCACAGGCCCCAAACCGCCCACACCGCCCCCACCGCTACCTGTCAGCACCACTTAGGTCCCTGAGCAGACAAGCGAGCCCTTTCAGGCGGCACGAGCCAGGCTTCGAATGTAATCCTCACTCCCAGTGGCGTCGCGGGGCGTAAAGCAAGCCGGGCAAAAGCTCAGAGCGCCAAGCAGCTCAGGCGGGGGCCCGGATTTGTGGACAAATTGGCGGCGCATCAAATATGTATAATTCATACTCTTAGGTTTTTTCGGTAAAGTCACGTAGGTAAAAAATAAAATTAAATGTGAATAAAAGGAATAATGGAAATAAATTAAAAATAAAAGAATAAATCACGATGTTTCGGAGGCAACACAGTAATTTTAGCTGTGACGGTCCCACCTGATGACGGAGACTTGTGTTGCCTCCGAAACGTCGTGATTTATTATTTTATTTCCATTATTACTTTTATTAACTTTTAATTTTATTTTTTACCTACGTGACTTTACCGAAAAAACCTAAGAGTATGAATCCTTGCAGTCACGAAAGCTTCAAATCTAGAATGAATATGTATAATTCACTGGACACCCTTGCATAAGAAATGTTCCGTCTCAAGAAATTATCCCGGTAAAATTATATATATATTTAATAATCAGCTCAATATTCAAATCCTGATATCCGCAACACAAGACGATTAACACAACAATCCAAGTCATCTATCTGATGTCCACCCCATCAGCATTTCTCATCCCACTGAATCCTATAAACTATGTCTCCGTTTTTTTTACTTTCTTTCTGCCGTTGTGTCTATTATACCCCTCCTGTCCATCTCATTAGGATTTTATTATTTGAACGGTGATGGGAGGTGGGGCGGGGGGGTGGCCCAGTGGGGCCAGTACCACCGCTGACCGTGATTTCCACTCCTACCCCCGATGGCTGCTTCACCTGATTGAGTTACCGTCTAGATTTACAGCTGCGGCGCTGGCGGCGGTGGCGGCGGTGGTGGTGGTAGCCGCTGCCCCCCCCCCCCACCTCCCACCACGGCCTCCCACCGCCCACCCGCGTGAGACCTGCGGGAACGTAATAGAATAAAATCCGCACGTCCGTAAGATTCTCACCTTTAGCGCCGCTCCCCCTAAAGTAAATTTGGTGGCCACACGAAAGCCAGGGCTGTGATGAGTGCTACTTTTCCCGTTTTTTTTTATTTCTTCCGTAATTTTTGTTCCCCGCCCCCTATTCCCCTTGTCCGTAAACGAAAATATATCATTTGTCGTTACCCCCACCAACCAACCCTCCCGTAAGTGGGGGGGGGGGGTGGGGGGGGTTTGGGTTGGCGAGTTTTCAGGGCCCAGTGACACATTGCATCTGTTGCCACGTTCGCTAAAAGCTGACAAGTCAATTTCGCTAAAATTCTTTGCCGAGCGGTGCAGGGGGGGGGGGAAGAGCGCGCCGGGCACGGTTGACTTTTTTGTGCTTTAATTAATTTGCTTAAAGACGTCTGCGGCGTCGAAGTACTGTTCCACAACGTCGTGTTTTTGTTCCTTTCATTTCCATTTTTTTTTACTTGCAAATCACAAACGCAAACCGCGCGGGGGTTCTGTGCCAAGAGTCACACGAACCCATCCACCTGGACCGTTTTAGGAAAACTCACACAAGTTATTGTTGTGAAAATGTACTTACACTCGTTTTTTTTTTTATATACGGTAGCCGCATTAATCGGGCAAAACACTTTTTTTTCGACACATTTCTTCCGAGTCGTACGTTTCCAAGCGTGCTCTCGTCCAGTTCGCAGATGTGTAAACGAAACTGGCGCGCGCTCTGTTTGTAAAAGGCAGCGCTTATTTATTGTTTCACGCGAGACACCTGCGACGCGCAACGCACGCTGCTGACGTTGATTTATTTGCGTTTGGGCCTTTTAGCGGTTGTGCGCTGCGAAAGACGCAGAAGTTGGCAGGCTCGAGGAACTTTTTCTTTTCTGCCTACGGCTGCAGCAGCGGTAGCGGGGCAGCTCACGGTCACCAAAGCGTCTGTCACTGTGGAGGCTTTCGCCGAAGCGACACGCGGCTCTCCCCCGCATCGTGTCGCACGGCAACGATGCCCGGCGATTCGCTTGCGTGTGTGCCTGGGATCGAAACGTCGGACATCGCGCGTGGATTTTTCTCTGGGCCCTCCGGTTTTCCCCTCCGCATTTAGAGTCGACGCGCGTTTAGAGTATTTGGCTGCTGTGAATTTTCACACGATCAGCCACTTTGTTGAGCTATCAAATTTGCAGCAGCCAAATACTCTAAACGCGCGTTTAGAGTGTTTGGCTGCTGTGAATTTCCACACGATAAGCCACTTCGTTGAGCTATCATTTGTGGCCAGGTTGCCTCTGAAAAAGAGCTACACAGCTCTGTGGGCCTTACCTGGTGAAATAAAAAAAAATAGTCGTAGTTCTTTGTCTTGCGATGCTGCAATCCATCTCACACCCCGTGAATGTGAACTACGTGGAATATATATGGTGCGCTGAATGATTATCTTCTTTTTTTTAATACAAAACCATATTCTCTGTTTCTTTTATATGCACTCCACTAGTGAAGCGGGTGCTGCCTTGAGGGATTGTTATCAATCGTAACCTCTATTTTAAAAGCCTCCTTCACACTGAAGCGTCTCAAAGTGCTGTACGTAAAAATACAACTCTACACTCAAAGGTATCGATGCAATCGAAGCGAAACAGAACGCTGATAATAACAACTTCACCAAATGACGACTTTCCGAAATTGCCAATAAAATGACGAAGTTAATGCTCGTTGTCGAATGCCACGGACAAACGAGGCTCACGCACCGGAGACATTCTTTTGAGAGTTTCTCGCTGGCGATGGTTGCCAACGATGTTTGCCATTTCCCTTTCGTTTGCCAGCCAGAATACCTCCCTCCCTCCCCCCGTCGCGCTCTCTCTCTCTCTCTCCCATGGGTCACTCTGTCCCATTGCGTCAATGCTAAAGATGCCTTGAAGTCCGGCTCCCTGAGCCGCGAGCAATAACAACCGTAACTACTCGGTCAGGATTTGACACCCTCTGCAAATAACGCTGAGCCGTACAGACCTTTGGGGGGGGGCGCCTTGGTCTTACTCCGGTAGCGTCTCGAGCGTTAACACCGAACCTGCCCCCCTGTCCCCTGTCCCCTGTCCCCTGTCCCCCACCCCTCCGAACCCCAGATAATTTTTGCGGACGAGTGCACGGAGGCAGAGGGCCGCCACTGGCACATCTCGCACTTCAGCTGCGTCGAGTGCCACGTGGTGCTGGGCGGGCAGCGCTACATCATGAAGGACGGACGCCCCTTCTGCTGCTCGTGCTTCCAGGCGCGGCACACGGTGGCGTGCGAGAGCTGCCACCAGCACATCGGTGAGGAGGCCGGAGTTGCCGCGCTTAACCGGGCAGGCGGCATCGCCGTGGGCACGTTCGCCCGCCGTGCCACTAGCCCGCCGCCGCGTGTTGCCCCCCCCCGACCCCGCTTGACTCTGACGTGCTTGCCCTTGATGGTGGCAATCTGTTCGGGAGGTCGATGCCAATGTCGAGGTCCTGATGGTGCTGCTGGCCATAACGAGAGGGCTTCAGCAGAGAGAGGGAGTTTGTGTCGTTTTGGTGTTCCTCCTCCTCCTTCCTCCTCCGAGCACACAGACCCACAGTGAGGCTTGCTCATACGGTCCATAGTTTGCGTTGCATGGCCACGGTCGATTGTGGCCATGGACATCAGTTGAATAAATACACAGGATTTGTAGCTATGGGGCTGCCGCGATCCCCGCTGCAGTGACTCGGAGTCTCGGGAGAAGTTGTTCCACTGTCCTGTCCACTCCCTACTCAAGTGCTTTTGAAGTTTCAAATGTCTGCTGGGGGGGGGGGGGCGTGGGTAGAGGGTGCATTACGGACGTGTTGACTTTCACATTGGAACTGCAGTGTCAATGCATTGGCTCTGTCCTGTCTGGGTGTCTATAATTGGTAGGGGGGGGGGCAGGTGGCGGCGAGCACGATAACTCTTGCTAAGACGCTGCGTTATGATTGAAACTTTGCACCTGGGACTCGTCATTAAAGCATTGCCCGCACCCCACTCAGCAGAGACGCTATCCGGGCCCCTTGGTCTCGGCCTCCGGACTGCGCTGTTTCCCGCGCTCGCTCGGCACGAGCACGGCCGTCAAATTCGCGTGAATCAAATGCCCCCCCCACCCTCCCACCCCCCTCTCCGCCAACGGCAAACACGACGACGCGACTCGCCGAGCGTGACCGAATGCGCCGCGCACGCACGACATCTCCCTTTCTTCCCCCTCCCCGTCTTTCAACCGCCATCCTTTCCCGTCTCCGACGCGCCAGGCCTGGAGGAGGAGCGCGTGACGTACGGCGGGCAGTTCTGGCACGCGAGCGACCGCTGCTTCAGCTGCGCGCGCTGCAAGAGCTCCCTGCTGGGCTTCCCCTTCCTGCCACAGCGCAGCCAGGTCTTCTGCTCCAAGGCCTGCAGCCTGGGCGACGACGGCAACGCCTCCGACTCGGCCGACTCGGCCTTCCAGAGCGCGCGCTCGCGGGACTCTCGCCGCAGCTTCCGCACGAACGCCGCCACCGCCGCCACCGCCGGCACTCAAAAGCCGCTCGCCATCGAAGCGTCGGGGATGACGGCGCCGCCCGCGATGATGATGGCGGCACCGGCCCTCGCCGTTCAGCCGATGCTCGCGCCAAAGTCGTCCGGCTACAGCCTGGAGGCGGCGTCGGCGCAGAGCACGCTCGACAAGCTGGGGAGCGCGCCGGGATTCCGCGGCTTTGCCGAGTCGCCGCAGGGCACCGCCGGCGCGGCTGCCGCGGCGGCGGCGGCGGCGTACGGCCTGGACCAGACTCCGAAGAAGCCTCAGGCTTTCCTGACGCAGCGCTCGGTGGCGTCGAGCGGCGGGAGAAGCTCCCCCGAGGCGGCGATGGGAGGCGCCGGCGGCGGAGCCGGATACCGCCGGCGCGCCAGCAGCCCCGCCGAGTCGCTCGGCAGCCAGGCGAGCGGCACCAAAGAGCGGTTACTCCAGGACCCGAAAGCCGTGGGCGACTACGGCAACCCGCTGGTCGACTACAACCCTCTGTACGGCCTGTCGAAGAGCTGGCAGCGGACGGAAGATGGCCCCCAGGGTGGCGGCGGCGTGCGGCAGGCCGCCTACAAGGCAGCGGGCGAGATGAGTTTCCTGCCGCCTCCGCCGCCGGGGCCGTGGATCCAGGATGGACATCGCGAGGGGGCGGCGGCGGCCTTCAGCGCCAGGGAGCTGCAGCAGCATTCGCGGCTCGGCGCGGCCGTGTGGGGGTTGATGGACATGGAATCGGGGCGGGCGTCACCGCATGACTCCATCGAGTCGCTGCCTCTCTCCAACATCACCGGTGAGCGACGTTCACGAGGGGTTTTGTTTTTTCTTTCTTTCTTTCTCTTCGCCCTTCCTCCGCCTAGACTGCCTCTTCCTATCGGCTGTAAGTAACGGCCGCCGTGTGAGATAGGGCCACATGTCACACTCGGGTCGAGATGGGTTGAGTACAAAGTCGGCACGGATGTCAGATAAGCAGCGGGCAACGTGCGATGGTCAACAGAGCCGCCGAGAGAAAGCGCGTGACGCGTTTGACGAGCGCAACACGTGACACAACGCACGCGTGCCTCAATCGTCACCGGCAATAACCCGACGCGGTTGGGCTCGGGGCGGAGAGGAATATCTAGGGGGGTTCGATTGCTTCGTGGTCAGGAGGTGTGCGTAGGAAGGTGGGTCTGGGTGGGCGGGTGGATTTTCGATGGGCGTGCGTTTGTGCGTTTGTACGACGCATCACCGCGTGCCAAGGAACGAGAGTGGTTTTGATACAGAAGAACGCTTCACAAGAGCGGCTCGGGACAGCGAAAAGATGAATATCCATGTTACACGCTACATTGCAATTCGGATTTACGTCGCCCCCATGACCAGCACGGCGAGGCGGGGTGGGGCAGGGGAGGGGGGGTGGGGGGCCTTCATCCAGCAGTGGATTTACAAAAGGGCTGGACATTTAGCCTCTTATACATACATACATTCATTGATCCAATACCGAACGAAGGTGTCTCCACGACGTGCCGGTCATGGAGGTTGTTTGACCGTACTTCACCGCGTTTGTTCAGCGTGGCTTGGTTGAAGGGAGGGGGGGGTGCCCCGGGAAAGGTTCAGACGTCTCTCGCCGCCCACGTTATCCGCGCCCTGGAATAATCGATCGATCGATCGGTCGGCTGCTCGGTCGATTGCAAATGGGTTGTCGGCAGCAGAACGCCGTCGTTTTTTTTTTGGCTCTGGACGATTTTTCTCGCGCTTCAAGAGACGCCGCCGTCGCCGCCGCGTCCCCGGGATCAGGTGAGTGACGCGTCGTGCCGTGCCGATTCGTCTCATTCGGCGGGAGCGACGCGTCTCGAACGGGAGACGCTGACGGATCGGTTTTTATTTGTTTGTGCAACCTAAAGTTGAACGGGGTGGGCGTGGGGGGGGGGGGGGCGGCTAGACGGGCGCTGCCGCGTGTACGGTCATTCCGGCTTGAAACTGGTCAACGTAAGCTTTTAGGCTCCTTAAAAAAGATTTTAAAAGCTTAACTTTTAAATATATTTTGACAGTGAGTACATTAAAAGAGAAGCCAGGCTGCCAATGTAAACATTTCGGCCGTCTCGTCGCTCGATCCCGAATCGTCCAACTAATGAGCAATGGAACAAAAATGTTGGTTTTGTTTGTGGTGACTGCTCATGACATGGAGTTGGCCAAATATCTCCCAATATAGAACCACAGAACTTGGGCAATGATTCCACTCCGGCTCTGGCTGCCTTTCCCACTTTGTCTGCGATTTGCATGGATGACACGATGTAAACACACACACACACACATGCTCATAAGTCAGGACAGCTGATGTGTTTAGTGATTTAAGTACGTAGCAACATCGTACGCGGTGTGTCACAACGTGGCCCAATCTGCCCAACTTGTGTTATTGTTTATGTAGTCCTGCCTGGCATCGTTGAGATGCCTTTCGTATTTACGTGTTGTTTAAATAACTTTGTTGTCGCTGCCCGCTGGTGGAGTTAATAACGTAGTGGCGAGCGTGCTGTTTGTACCTACCTGGTGACCTGACGTTGATTCCCAGCCACGGTTAACACCGGTGGCGAGGCGATACCTGAACCGGTCCTGGGCCTCCCATTCACCAACCCGCACTGACAGGATGCGGTGAAGTGTGCTCAAACATCTGAAGAGAAGGCGCTGACGATTTCAAATTAATATTGTCCAGAAAATTCACAGCAGTGTACGCAGCCGATGCAAGGAAACTGACAGTTTTCCAGTTCTCCTTTGATTAATACGTGTAAATGATTTCACGAAAAAATTAAACCCCTTCCCTTTTTCTTTTGTTCAAACATCACCAGGCCTCTCGGTGGACATTGACGGCAAGTCGCCCGACCAGCTGTCCAAGTTCTCGCTGCCGTTCGTCGGCAGCGAGTGCGGCCTCGGCTCGGCGGAGAAGCTCAGCACCGCGGGCACCCTCAACTCCAGCTCTCGCTGCCGCAGCGCCGAGTCACTCTCCGGCCTCTGCTCGAGCCAGCGCCCCGATCGCGAGCGGGGCCGCCCCTCCGAGCTGCCTCCCCTCCACGGCGATGGCGGCGGCCGCGCCGGCGGCGCCGTGCCCCGACCGCCCGACCGCGCGCGCCGCTCCCAGTCGCAGCCGCGCTTCCTCGCCCAGTTCGAACCGGAGCGGGGGGCGGTGGCGGCGGCGGCGGCGGCGGCGGCGGCGGCAGCGGCGGCGCCGCAGATGGCGATGCCGTTCCCACGAGCGCCCCTGAGCGAGCGCCCCCGCCGGAAACCGATGGACTTTGACGACGGACGCTCGCGCGCCTCCAGCGGCAGCGGCGGCGGCGGGCAGCACCACCACAGCCGGCAGCGGCACCACAGCGGGCAGCACCACCACGGGCATCACCACGGGCACCACCGATCACGCAAGTCGCGGCGCTCGCGATCGGAGAACGCGCTGCACAAGCTGGCGGCGGTGGAACGGCGCCGGTGCCGCTTCAAGGACGAGCCGGAGGTGCACACGCACGAGGACTACGAGCAGCTGATGCAGCGCAAGTCCGGGCGGGACGGCGGGGCGCGCGGCGGCTACCCGCAGGCGCCACGCTCCATCTACGCGCCGCAGAACCACATCACGGTGGAGCGCTTCCCCAACCGCTACCCGGCCGACCTGGCGCTCGACCTGGACGACGAGGGGGATGACAGCTCGGACGACTGGTGCTCCACCTGCTCGTCCTCCTCGTCGGACTCGGACGACGACGGGTTCTTCCTGGGGCAGCCGATCCCGCGCACCGTGGTGCCGGTGCGGTGTCAGTACCGCGAGGGCGGTGGCGGCGCGGCGGCGCTGACGGGGACGCTGACGGGGACGCTGGCGGGGACGATGGCGGGGACGATGGGGTACGGCGGGCAGCCGCCACACTCCATCACGATGCCAGCGCTGTCGAGGAAGCAGCAGCGCCGGCGCAGGAATAAGAACTGCATCATCTCGTAGCCGCCGGATCGGTGGCCACCTCCGGAACGCCGGGTCCGGCCGCGAAGGAGCGAGCCGACGGACAACGGCGATGATCGCTTCGCGAAATCGGGACAGCAGCGCTCGCACATGCGAAAGATGGAGAGAGACACGGAGAGGGCGGGATTGGAAATGATGAGACGAAACGCCACTTCGTTTACCGTGCGAACGGACCGAACCGTCTGTTACGTTTGTAAAGTCCACACATTTTCAGATGTCATGGTGCTAAGAGGACGTGCTTCCAAGGTTCTGAGCGTCGATCGCGCCGGCCTCGGCATATCAAGGACGAGAACGGTTATTTAAGTGAAAGGGGGGGAACGAGACTGCGATGGTGGTTGGAGCGTGCGTTGACGGCGAAATTCATGCAACGGATGGGACGATGGCGTTTCGCCGATCCGCCTTTCAAGTTGCACCTATCGTCGGCGTGCGTAGATTTTGTATTATCGTATCTATCTATCATCGCGTCGTCATTTTGAGACCGATCATTCTGTGATTTGGCCGACTTTGCACGCGAAAGCGCGGCAAGCGCGCGCCCGCAGGCCGCAAGGCTCTCGGTTTGCGCCGTGCGGAAGAGTTGATCCTCGGAGGTATCCTGACCCTCGAACCAAAACACAATTCCACGTTCTGCATCTAAACAACAAGGGCAAATGTAAAAAAGAAAAAACGTGTAAGTAACGCTAAAGCTGATTATAAAAAAGTACAAACGGTAAATGTAACAGAGCTTTAATGTTTTAAGTGCACCTATATATGTATTTTATTTTTTAATTCTTCCTTCGACTTTCTTAACTCGCGTATTACAACATGTAAAACCTTTTTTTTTTGCTTGTCACGCGTCGCCGCTATTTCGTCGCGTAACGTATTTATAACAATACCAGCAGCGCGTGCGCGTGTGCGCGCGTGCGGTGCCGGGGTGCCTCCGCACGTCCACTCGCGGTTCTTCACGTCGCGCGCAAAGTTGTCGAATCCAAAGGGCTTCAAAGCGGGGGGGGGGCTTCGGGGGAGTAGGCCGCCGCGGTTTGTAAAACGACCGTGCGGCGACAGTGCGTCGCTCGCTCCCGTCGCGCGAGCCCCCCCCTGCCGCGTTGCAGCGCGAGTGGTCGATGCTTCCGGGCAGCCTTGTCTAGACCACCAACTCGAGAGGAGCCGTTAGGGGTGCGGTGCCGTCCCCTCCGAGAGTTGTGACGCCTTCTTTCCCGTCGCGAGCGGCAGCACCTCTGCGACTTGACCTCCCCCCCCCCCCCCCCCTCAGGTTTGACCGGCCTTCAACGCGCTTCTTGTCGTAACGGAGGGGGGTGGGGTGGGGAGTTTGTCACCGTTTGCGCGGAAAGTGCTGGAATTTTTCTGGGAATCGCTCGTTTAGCGGGTTCCGTTTCCAACGGTCAAAAAAAATCAGAATTCGACGGCCTTCGATCGCTTTCGGTCCACGGGCGTCCGTGTCGACAAGAAAGCGCGTCGGGATGGTGGCCGGAGAGGGAGGAGGAGCGCGTGCCATCAGTTTCACCAAAAAAGAATAATTATTATTATAAGAGCATTTCATCAGTATTGTTTTTTTATATATATATCACATACCTGCACTCACTCTGTAAGCCATTGTTGTTTGAAATAATATTAATTATTACCGTTATTATTGATAGGTAAACAACACCAAGAATAATAAATGATGTACATGTCTTTGTAAACTGGTGAGCACATGCAATTTTTTTGAATAAACATTAAATGATCTTTTTTTTCTTTCTCTCGAACGCTCCGCCGGTTTTTTTCTCGCACGCGGGATTCGGCGAGTTGCCTGCCTTGCTGAAGTCCGCGTCCCGCGGTTACTCAGATGTCCGCCCGTCACTCGCTGCACACCCAACACATCTCCTAAATCTTTGTCCCACCGACTCGTGCTCCGTCCCACTACTTTCCTCTCTCTCTCTCTCTCTCCATCGGCCTCCGCCTCCCTCCTCCGTTCACTTGTTTAGGCTGTTCCTATGTCTGAGCTCGGTGTGCCTGGCCCAACTCAATTTCATTTATTTTGTTTTCACTCTTATATATACACACACACGCGCACACACACGTGCGGTGGTGACTTTCTTTTGCTGCTGCTGCTGCGGTGTAAACGTGTAATAGCAGGAATAGTCAACTTGCAATCGAGAGCTCGTATGCAGCGGGGAGGTTTCTATTAAACTCTTAAGAGTATGGCAGCAATGCGTTGTTCAGGAGCTTCGATGCCAATGTCTGCTGGCCAGGACGAGAGGGCTTCAGCAGACCGAGAGAGAGAGAGAGAGTTCGTGTCGTTTTCCTATCGCTCGTCCGCTCCGTAGTTTGGGTTGCAGGTCCACAATCGCACTACTACTGTGGCTTGCCTTTCACATTCCATTTTTTGGTGGGGCTAACTCTGCGTGGATGCTCCAACCTCTCCCGCGACATCTGACCTGCGTGGAAGAGTAGGCCAAACACCCTCTCAGGGTGGCTCTCACAGGAGGAGGCCCTTTCCGCCAGCAGTGCCGTGAAGTCGCAGTGCTGCATCCGTGTTTTATTTTGCAGTCGCCGAGAGAGACTCAAGCTAACGGGAATGTAACCTTCAATTCGTCTTACCTCGACTCCGACTCCCCTCTCGTTTCAGCTGTTATAGCAAGACTCGGGGTGGGGGGTGGGAGGGGGAATGGTCTGGGGAGATGGATAAGTACGGGAGGGTGAGGAGGAAGGGCGGTCGGTCGGAGTGTGTGTAAAAAAAGAAACTTGTTAAGTCACACAAAATCAACATTCCTTGGTGGGTGGCCCGCTCGCAGTTTGCCGATGTCGACACTCCGACATGCGCCAGCCAAGCCAGCCCAGGCAGGCAGGCAGGCAAAAAAACAAATAATAAACGGGAGAGTGGTGTATTGGAAATAGTTAACCGGGAAAAACACCGCCGCCACCTCTTGATTTTGAGAAGTTGACGAGCTCCGAGCCGAAGTCCGTGGCTCGGAACGCCTTGGAGAGGGATCTCTCCACTCTTTGGTTCTTTCGGTCAAGTCACGTAGGTGAAAAAATTAAAATATAAGAATATAAAAAAATAGAAATAACTAAATTAAATCACTATTTAGTTATTTCTACTTTTTTTTTTACTCTTCATTTTTTTTCACCTACGTGACTTTACCGAAAGAACCAAAGAGTATGGATCCTTGCAGTCACGAAAACTTCAAATCTCGAAGCGATTTCTCTGTCTGGGCGGTTAGTCTCGGTCCCAGTCTCTCGTCTCGGTGTCTCTGCTCGTTCAGCCCAAGCAGCGCTCTGCTGTTGCTGCTCAACGAGACAACCAACGACAACAACAGCGGGTGAAGGTGCAGGCCTCTGCAATGCCCTGCTCACGCCACGACTACACGGCACCTGCAGGGGCTCCCCCATACTCTTCAAGTCGAAGAGAGGGCCCACCTTCACGAAGAGGGCATTTGGCCTCCTCCTCCGCAAGAGGTGGAAATACCCCACGATTAACTTTAAACTCGCACCAAACTGCCCCGATCAGACCTCGGTGAACCCATTTACAGTGCGACAGCGCGGTTGGCTACATACGGTGTGAAAGAAGTTCAGCATCCTGTGCATACGTGCACAACTTTTGCTCCGTTGTTTCAACTGCTGTGGAATGGGCAGAGGTGAAGTGCCGGTGCTCGAGATTTCCACCGTTCAGTGCTGGACATCGTCTGCGAATACTGGACATTATGTTAAAACCTAAAGAGCTTCGTGGCTCATCGGATTTCTCCATGCAATAAAAAAAAATCCGATTCATATTCTGAGATGCGGTGACCCCCAACACCACGTTTGAGTTGATGTGGGCATAGTCTTAGTCAACTTGCGGAGTTTGTATTTAGTAATTCTCTTGGTCGAGGGCCACGGGTCTGCAACCAAAGTAACAATAAGAGCCATTTCACCACCCCCCCCCCCCCCCCCCATTTCGGGAGGAAAAAAAACTCCCCCTCGATATTTCAAGAGCCGCAATGCCACGCGAATAACGCCACGAAGCAGCGGTCCTTCAAAAGGTCGCATGCACCTCCGTAGTTGGCAGGCTGCCGATCCCTGGTCCCAGGCAGAGACTTAACGCAGTCGAACGGAGCCGGGATCCGACCCTTCGTTTGTCGAGGGTCGCTGTGAGAGACGCGCAAAGACAAAGATCCCCCGTATAGCCTCGACAGACTGTCGGGGGCAAGTGCTGTTCGCGACGAGCACCTAATAAAGGCCGGAACGACACACGAAAGGGTGTGAGTGGCCAACACCACGCCCGGCCGCTTTTGTTTCCCTGCGTGGCGATGTTCGCACTCTACACTTGGTACCCATTTTTAGGCTGAGTCGACCTGGGAGGAGGCCCAGACCCGGTTCATATAATCGTCGCTCGTGTTGATGGCCGTGAGCGGGAATCGAACTCGGGTACGCCGGGTTCGTATCGCAGCGCGAAAGGCACTAACACCGCCTCTCACGGGCGAGTCGCAACAGCAGCGGCGTGGAGTCGAACCCAGGTCTGTGCCCGAACCGGGCGAGTGCCTCCTGATTCTGAGCTAATGCACACGGATGAGCGCGTTCAGAATTGCTTGGCTCGTCTGGTTGGGGTTTGGCTTCAAGAGGATCGACGATTCACATCGACGAATCGTCGTCTCGTCGTCTTCCCCGGCAGTCGAAATTAAACTAATTTTATTTGATCAGGTCAGGCGAGTTTATGGAGCTCTTTTTTTCATAAGCCATCTGGCTATCACAAATGATAGCTCAACGGAGTGGCTTTTTCATCACGTGTAAATGTATAGCAGCCAAAATAACTCTAAACGCGTGATGTCGATTCTAAATGTGGAGGGGAAATACCGGAGGACCCGGAGGAAAATCCACGTGGCCACGGGGAGAGAGAGAGAGACACACAAACTCCAAATATAGAGCAGCAGGCGTCAGGGTCCGGATGGAACCCACGACCTGCTGTGTACCAGGCGAGGTAGTTAACATCTCCTTGCCACCGTGACGATGATGATGATGAGAGACACGCAAACTCCAAATATACAGCAGCAGGCGTCAGGGTCGGGATCGAACCCACGACCTCCTGTGTACCAGGCGAGGTAGTTAACATCTCCTGGCCACCTCGAAACGATGGCGTCATCTCGCCACACGGCGCCGCGAGACAAAGGCCCTGCTGGAGGCCCCCTTCTTTGTCTTTCGTTCGCACGGTCGCTGGCGATGGCCCTGGTCCCACAATGAGATGGGGGCGTCAGAGGCCCGGGTGAGTGGAGAGGGGGCAGGGGTTGCGAAACCACTTAGCCACCATTGTCTCTTCATCCCCGGCACACAGGGTGCAGATGAAAGCCCCACCTCCTCCCCCCCCACGCTCCTCTTGGAGCAGCCAATTACTTAGGATGCATTTTATTTTTTAAACAAGAGGGCACACACGCAGCGCCGCGGCAAACAGGGGGGGGGTGTGGACCGCCGCCTCGGTTGGACCGTTCGGGTGGGTGGGAGCGATGCGGGGGGGGGGCACGGACTCCTGGCGCATGAGCCAGATGCGTCGATGGGTCGCGCGGAACCATCGATGGACTTCATCCAACCGTGGATAGATCGTGCCGAGTCATGATGATGTGAGACCAACGGCAAGAGTCTTCGGTTGGTTATACAGCGTTTTGTGTTTTGCAGAAGCATTGCCTCTTGGTAGTGTGTGGAATGTTACCAGGCTTTCTCACATTTTCTAATTATTCGTATTTATTATTATTATAATATTTAGTTTCCTACTAAATATTCCAACTAAATATTCACCGAGTCTCTTAACAATATTTTTTTTTCCAGATGGCCCTGATAAGTTTTTTTTTTTGCAATAGCGCGCAATGAGTGTGTGCTCTGTGTTTTCCCAATTGAGTAAATCTGCCGGTACACTTTTTTTCGCAGGGTCTTAAACGTCCACCGGCGGAGCATACAGCGCACAACCAAAAAATTGAGTTACGTTTCATACTCTCGCAAGTCAACGTCGCAGATGTCAGGCCCTGGACCTCTTAAGCCGGTGGTTCTTAACCTTTCCTGCAGCCTTGCACCCATTTGATTGCCAATCGTTAAAATAATTATAATGTTAATAAATGCATAGGGGTTTGATGAAACAAAGTAAGTTGTACTGACGTACCCGTGCTACATTTGTGTTTTCAATTATTCACCTTCTAAAAAAACAATCTGCCCATGTCTCACACCCCCAGGGGGAGCGTGCACCCCAGGTTAAGAACCACTATCTTAAGCAAAAAATAATTTTTTATTGGAATCTCTGCAAAGATTTGGTGCTGGCTACGAAGTCGTTCAAAAATGTTGCCTGCCAGAGCTAATTGTGTTCACGTCCCCAGCTCTGGCTGCTCCCACACTGGCTCCCACTTTGTTTTCGAAAGCAAACTCCAAAAATTCGACTTTTATCTACGTGATCATCATCAGCAGCACCACCAACAGCGGAGGCGCAGTGGTCTGTGCGCTGTGCTTTTGACCCACCGACCCCCAGCTCCATTCCCCTCCGCAGCGAACATCAGTGACGAGCGAAAGCTCAAACGGTCATTGCCACCCCAAACCGTTTTCACCAGCCCACACGGACCGGCGTGAAGATTGGTCAAACAATTATTCCTTGGTTCTTTCAGTAAAGTCACGTATAAAGATATCTTTATACGTGACTTTACCGAAAGAACCAAAGAATAATTCCTGCAGTCACGAAAGCTCCAAAATTAAGATTGGTCAAACAACCTCCATGGCCAACAGCGTGGAGAGAGGCCTTCAATCAAC